AAAATGATGAAAATTACATTGAGAACTTTGTATTTCAAAAATAATAAAGGTTAATAAAATAATTGATTTTTTAAAAAGAAAATGCGAGTTAAACGCGTTTCTTTAATACTCACATTTAACACATCTTTAACTATTTTCGATATTTGTTTGGATTATTCGATATGCTTATAATGTAGTTCTCGAAATAAGTTTTGAGATGACATAAGCAATTTGTAGATTCGATTAGCGTACGATCGTTGTAGAATTTTTAAAGTTAGCATGTTATCGAAATTTTCGAAATACTAATTTTGAATGATCTACTTTGACAAGTCGTAACATTTGCTACGATTGATCGTTTCGTACGCCATTAATAACGTAGAAAACTAGACTGTGAGCACTTTAATATGGTATTAAGAATGCAATATTTCGATTTCATTTGGCATCCCATAATAACTTCGAAAATCGAAACAAAAACATAGAAAATTTAATGGTGAAAAAAAAAAGAGCAAAGTTGGGGGGTCAAGTGACCCCAGGCCACCCCTTACGTCTGTCCTTGTATACAAGTAAAATTGGATTTCTGCTTGCGACAAGTGTTTGTTTGGTACACAGTATTGGATATAACTAAAATTATAATAAAACAAGATTTATCTTACTTTTCTTAACACTGTCTACCGTCTATTATTATTTAATCCTCCCGGCCAAGCATACATTAGAGAAACGGCAATCACCCTGCACACGCTAATGAGAAAATCCCCTTATTGTCACAAATGCCTTTCTATGCAATTTTTGACCTAGCGTCATTTCAATTTTTTTAACCTTGTAGATTCTTGGCTTTTATATCAATTCTTATGGTTTCTCTGCTTCTATATGGAGTTGCTCATTAACATGGCCTCAAACAGGTGATTACACGAGTCGTGAATATGCTCAATTTACGATCCCTCCTTCTGTTAGAATTGATCTTTTTAGATTATTTTAACTCATGGTTTAAGTCTAGGTAACATTCCTTGATTACTCCTTTTAATCATTCTCTAATCTTTCGTCGTATATATTTATCCAATATCTTCGTACGACATTCGAGTTATATTATACTTGTACGTGTACTAATGATGCTTCTCAGTTCTCTCTGTCTTCTCTTGTAGATGCAAAAATATGTAAACTGAAATCTCAGGGTAGAAACAAAGATGGAAAAATACACGTGGGAACGAATGAGAGAAACAAAG